TCAAATGACTGATTTCAAATCACGCATTTTGGTCCAATGTAAATGTAATATAAGGTTAGTGGCAATGATTATCTCTCAAAATAAGACCGCAGAGCCGACTGTGTATCGGATAAATTTAAAACTGGCGCCGAAGTGTGGATAGAGCGCATTTACCAGCTTTTAAATGCAATCAATGAATAAACATGCCCGAGACTATAATCTTAATTTACTTTCTTTCTCCAGTCCACAATAAGCGAGATCCCTCTGTTTATGCCACCGACCGCAGACAATTACGTACAAGCTCCTGTCGATGGCACTATGTGGAAGACTGAGGTCCTTCATGAACCAACTGATTGGGTATTGTTAGTATGTCTTCAGATTTAATTAATCAGATTAATAATTAATGCTAGATTGACCAGATCTGTGTAAAATCCTAGAAAAAACACTGATAAAATAATAGACGCACAGAACTCCTTCGTCAAGTTTAAAGCGATTTCGATTAAAATCGAAAAACTTGTGTACATACATACGTATAGTATATGACTATCAAGAGTGACATTGAGCACAAATTTTAGCTCTGTCGAAATTAATGTTGCCATATGCAGATGGGGTTGGACCAAAGAGGAAAAGATGTTGGTTGATTACATTTCGTTGCTCAAGTTTTAACAAGTAAGAGTTTAACGTGCTACAGTATTCAGTTCGTAATTGCGTCAGAGTTATCGTTGGTCTCTATCCGCCGCTAAAACTCTTCCTCTGAAATGGGTGGTAAATTAACTCCTACAACTGGCATTCACGGGCTGACATACATAGGTGATGATAGTCTCTAGGTGAATGTCGTTGATGGCCAGCTTGTAGAACGTCTGTCCCAATTTATGTTTCTTACTACGCTCTACTTTACTTTTTTTTGTTTATTTAGGTGTTAAAAATAGTTACCGAAGATTTTCTAATTGTAAGGAAAATGCAAAAGAGGCACAATTAAAAAAAAGAGATCCGAAAATATGACTGCTTATAGATCGTACAGATTCAGCGCAATTAATACAAAAATAAGTATAACAGTAGTTTTCTAGTTTGAGAATATAATCATGAAGAAAAAATTATTTGCAATATTTGGAGATAAATGCTAAGCAAAAAAAATCTACCCAAATTTTTTTTAGTTGTGCCCACTTTGAAGATCGCGTGTTATAGGCAATCATTATAGTAAACATAGACGCGAAACTGATGACATCTGTGGGCAATAATAGCCTCTTGATAGTCAGTCACGATCGTCGAAATTTTTTATATCGGTAGTTTCGCTTGATACTAAAGTCCGCGTGTCTTTTTATAGCGTATGTTTCAACCTGGCAAATGGAAATATGTTTCCCATACATAGGTTCCAAGTATATCAACCCCTAACCAAGTACACCTATTCGTCTTCAGCCAATGAACCAACAGTGTACCAGGTTATCATGTTTTGGTTTATCCGATATGTCTCGGATATGCCTGCCTAGCTCTTCTTATTACTGAGATCAGTTTTGCACCTCTTTGTAGATGCATGGTATCGTGGCTCGGTATTGCAATTTCAAGCGGGCACTTCTTCGTCAGGATATAGAATATCGAGCTTGCTGCGATTAATAAACCCCTGTGCCCCGATATTGGTACCAGTAGAGCCGTTTTCACCTGAGTATGTATATGAATATGAAGAACTTTAAGATCTAGAAGAACTTTAAGGGATGTGCTTGTTACAAGTCCTCATGACTCCAGTTATGCATACACATGCCAGCCTTTATATCTTGGGCCTTAATAAGAAAAGTACTTTTTTTTTCAGCAGCAAAATCAATATCCCAACGGAACCAAAAAAAAACTCCTCTTTGCCTTCTCGATGATCACCTGAACTGGACTCCAAGTGAATTTAGTACACGCAGATGCGTTTGCCGTTATTTTTTCCATAAAGGGGTAGCGGGAACCATTTAAGTCACAATTTGCAAAAAAAACTCTCTCTTAGGTACCGCTTTTACAAGTACATATCGTCGTTTAAAGTACAAAACCGCGCATCGTCATTTTGCAAAACCGCGTAACTGGCATTAGCTGTCAAAAATTGGATTTGCTCACACAGGCTCTTGGCTCAATCCTTATCTTTTCGTCCTGAAATACACTGGCCAGGTATGCGATTGCTTTATAAAAAAAGAGAACCATTATGAAATATGGTTGTTTTTACTCTCTAGAAGATAATTTACATAATTCACATACGTGGTTTTGCATTTTGTTGATACGCGGTTTTGTACTTTAAACGACGATATGTACATGCAACACCAAATTGAAGCTTTGAATAATAAGTATGTATTCAAATTACTCCCAATGAACTCACTCCACTGTCATAAAAGTAATTAGTCCTCACTTCATTTAATTCCACCCCCAAGCTCCCGTCATATTCACTGTCCACTTCTGCTCCCAAACGCGACGGTATTAATTAGTCCAATTGACCTCCATTTCGAAAGTCAAAATTTTAAATAAACAAGGCGAGCAGCAACAAACGACACACGGAATGAGAGAGAAGCAAACGGCAAGCGAATGCAGATAGACGACATGGCAAAAATACAAAGGCAAATAGAGGCATTTGTATGTAGTATACATACAAACACCCACACTCACGCACAAACACCACTTACAAAGCGCGGCAGACAGCTGCCAAAGGCTGAGGAGTCATTGAATAGCGAGGCATTTTAGCTTGTTAAAGGAAGTCAACCACTGACAAATGCAAAAGAAATGTATTGTATGCTTTTGTATGCTGAAAGTAGTTAGTAATTACTTTGTATACAAGCGTTGAAGTAGGCGGAAAGCAGCGCATAGTTTCCTGCTGTGCGGCAATCGAGATTGAGCGCACTTACAAGATGAGGCTTTTAGCGGATTGTCTGGGCAGGCGGACGTGCACGGACGTTTTTATCCTTTACGAAGCTTTGGTAAACGTATGTCATTTTACATTACCGTTTTCCCACCAAATAGTGGGTGGACTATGCACGCCACACTCTGTAAACATCAAAGAGTTTTCCCACACAGAGAAATGTGCCACACTTTGATGTTTCTAAATTGCACTCAGCGGTGGGCAAGAAACAAAAACAACAACAAAAACTGTGAGCATGCGTAAGCACGTGGATAATGATGAAAAAAAAACTGACTGCATGGCGGTGCAAATAGCGGCACAGCACTGACAAAGTGTATCAGATTTTTTTTATTTTTTGTTGTAACATGTTTGCTTTTGTAGCATACTTTGAGGCGCGCAAACACGCCGCGCGCGCGCACACACACACTTTCTTTGTGGCTCTCACTTTTTGCCCGTGTGTGTGTTTTTGAAGATGTGTGCGCGCATGTGTTTGTCAGCAGCATTTGTGTGCTATGACACGAAGGCGCAGAAGACAAAGGCACACTTTTAAGAACAACGCGCACCCGCCCCTTACACGAACGTACATACACAACAAAGCCGCGCTTCAAAGGATACAACAAAGGTGCATGAGGGGGCTCAACTCGTTGACAGATAGAAGCAGCAAGCAAAAGAAATTCTCACTGATGTTGCCGACGCCGTTCAGTACTTCAGAGTCAGCTCACAGCATACAGCCAACACACTCACTTACCGCCGCCTGCAGCGCATCATCGCTCAAATTGGAGCAGTTGCCAACGGTACAACCATCCAATCACACAGCCACCCATCAACCCCAATCATCTCATTTTCTTCTTTAGTTGTATTGCTTTCACTGCTATTGAATCACATCACCACTATTCCGCGCATACTGTCACTCAGCGTTGCACATAGGGAACACTTCCGGTGTAACGGTGATATAGTACATGTATCATAAAAAAAAAATACACAAATACACGTACAAGTGAAAATAGAACATTCAAAGGGTTTATATGGCAGGCGTGGTGCAGGTGCCTTTGAAAAGGTAAAGCACATTACACCAAGCGCGGCGAGTAGGGTGGGGGATAACTACGAGTACATACTCGTCGGTGCATTAATTATGTATGTATGTAAATATTGGAGGGGTGTGGAGAACAGTAAGGAACGGAGTAGATCAAACAAAGTCCCCCATTTTTTCATGCGCGCGCTCACTCGATGAGTGCAGTTTAAAAGAAAAGCGAAAAATCTAAAATGGACAAACTATCAAAAAGGAATCGCGGCGGTGTTGTTTTTGTTTTTGCGCGTTAATAGCAATCAGCACTATGTATGTGTGGGTGTGTGTACACTTTTAGTGACAGCACCACAACAGAAACCCAGATGTAAGCGCGCTTGCTGTTAAAAGTTTTTCTAACTGTATTTCCTTTGACAGTTTGACAATTTTGCAGAAATACGGAAGCGAGTAACGGAAATGCATTAATGCATTTGTATTTTCTTACTTTCAAACACAATGTATATATGAAAACATTTATATTGAATTTTTTTTTTGTCACTAAATTTCGCCATGCAATCACTTTTCTTCAGTTATCACAAAATCGCGCACTTTTCATTTTCTGCCGTTTACGCGCAGACGACACCCAACACCAGCGATTGATAAAACCCAAATGATATGGGGTTGATCAAGAATGTAGCAAAACACCACACGAATTCTACTACTTTTTCAAACAACGAGGGAGTAGTGCGTAAAAACAGAGCAATACAACACTGAATGCGGCTGTCAAAGGAGATGCCAGCCAATCGGAATAATTTCTTAGTTGACGCCATTTAGTAGTTTTTTGGAGAAAAGCTACTTTTATGTCAAAGAATCTATCGGTATACTGGGCATTAAATGTGTCTGTTATTTTCTCACCTTTTTTAATAACTTTTTATATTTACAAGACATACATACATATATGTATTTTATTTTCCTGTGATTTTTAATCTTTTGCTCTAATCCTTTATCTTTAGTTACATAATACTTCGCTTATTTCTTCAATTCTTAAATGGTTTATGTTGCTTATGTGACCATTACGCTCCGCCACCGAAACCAGAAACCCCAAAAAATTCTTTGTGAGAATTTTTTTTTTTTATTTTTTGCTATTGATTTAAATATTTACTCGCTTTTACAACAGCCATTTACTCGTTTTTAACCCATTCCCTATATTTTTTTTACAAACCCCCTTGGAGTTGTATTTAATAAATAAATACGCCTTGCCCAGTTGTTAGCAATTAATGTACAAACCCCACAAATTCCTCAATTCTCTATAATCCCGTTTACGACTGTCATTCCACTGCCGTTGGCGCAGTCGCTGAGGCAGCCGTCGTCGCTGTTGTTTTCGTAAATTTTGACATATCACTGCCGAATTCGTGTACGTTGTCGTCGACGTCGCCGCCGTTGTTGCTGCTCGAGCTTCGTAAGCAGCTCGTCATTGATTTTTTATTTTTTCCAACGCAGTTCAGCAAACGGCAGTGAAAAAATTTTGTGCAGTTCAAATAAAATTCCCTAACATCATAAATTGTTGCAATTAATTGCAAATTTGCAGGAAATTTGCAATTATGGGCGACAATGAGCAGAAAGCGCTGCAATTGATGGCTGAAGCCGAGAAGAAATTGACACAACAAAAGGGTTTTCTCGGTTCGCTATTTGGGTGAGTGTGTGATTCCATCGCGAGCTCTAGATTTAATTTAAATCCCCCAGCTCCGAATTGTGACGTGTATAATCCGCTACATATATGTATGTAAATAACTGTAAAAATATTGAATTCCTTTGTTCGAGCAATATTGCATTATAATTTTCTTTCGTGTGTATTGGGTGTCGCAACTTGGTGCAATAGCAAGATTATCGATTTTATAAGTGTTAATATAAAGATGTGATGACTAATATTTGAAGAAAGGAACATTTGTATCAAATTATTTGCTGTGGTAAATTACTCATGAATTCGCTAATCCGGAATAACACTTTTGCAAACGCTCAAATTTAGAGTCCCGCCCACATTTGCTGAGGCAAGTCGAAATTTCATCTATGTTCAGCTTGCAAAGTGTCATCGTCTGGCTGCGGAAGCGACTGCGATGTCGTGTCATTGTCGTAATCATCATCAACAACGATTTCGATTTTTCGCAAGATTCCACCACTCGCCATTCCCCACATTGCTCAAGCTTTGTTAGTGTTTACACTTCTTATTGCTCACACTTAACGGCAGATCCTTGGTTTTTATGCGTCGAGTCCTGTGTATACAGAAATGTGGAGCGCAGAAGCACTGCCTATGCGTCGCAGCACTTTTTAACTAGAAGTCTGGGCTCAGACTATTTTGCAAATATGTGCACCTAAGTATGTACGAGTGTGTATGTAGGCGCCCATGCGTATTTATAGTAACACTTAAAAACAGGAAATGAGGAAAAGGCGTTGTGTAGAAATATCGTTAATGGACGAGTTTATTCACTTTCAACTAAGTGCACATATATGTATCCATGTGCCTTCAAAAATCATTAAACTATGTATTGGCTTGCACTATTTCCATTAAAACAAATAATGTTATTGTGTATTAATAAGGCCCCATATTTTAATTCACAGTGGTTCGAATAAAGTGGAAGATGCCATCGAATGTTACCAACGCGCCGGCAACATGTTCAAGATGTCCAAGAATTGGGCGAAGGCTGGTGAATGCTTTTGTGAAGCCGCTAATTTACATTCGCGTGCCGGTAGTCGTCACGATGCCGGTGTTGCATATGTAGATGCGTCGAATTGCTACAAAAAGGTATGCACAAATGGTTTCAACATTTATTTTAAGATTCTATAAATTGATACACCCTTGTAGATCGATGTGGAAGGCGCTGTCTCATGCCTGCTAAAGGCTATCGACATCTACACCGATATGGGCCGTTTTACCATGGCAGCAAAGCATCACCAGAGCATTGCTGAAATGTATGAAAGCGACCCAGGCACGCTGGTACGTTAACGGCTAACTCTCTTTGTGTATTATTTATTCCTATTAAATATAATATAACTTAAAAAATAGATTTAAACTAATTTCTTTAAACTAACCACATCGATTCTCAACAGGCCAAAGCTGTGCAGCATTACGAACAAGCTGCCGATTACTTTAAGGGCGAAGAATCGGTGAGTTCAGCCAATAAGTGTATGTTAAAGGTAGCTCAATATGCCGCACAGCTAGAAGATTACGAAAAAGCTATCAATATCTATGAGCAGGTAAGTTTCTTTGACGAGAAGTGCTTAAACTTTAATCTTTGTTTTACTTATCATTCTCATCATTTATATGCTTTCTTTAGGTTGCCGCTTCATCGTTGGAAAGCTCACTGCTCAAGTATAGCGCTAAAGAGTATTTCTTCCGTGCTGCTTTATGTCACCTTAGTGTGGATTTATTGAATGCTCAACACGCTATTGAGAAATATGCGCAGCAATATCCAGCATTCCAAGATTCGCGTGAATTTAAGCTCATTAAGGTAGGGAAGAAACGATGTAGTACATGGAGAGAAATTATAATAATAACAAAAAGGAGCATTTTTTGCAACTTCATAAAATGCAGGCCATGAAAAAAGTAACTGATTCATACTAGTTTTTTGGTCTACAAAAATGTTTGGTTTCACACAATTTTATTAACTGACATGAGTTATTGAAGGAACTAAACAAACTTTCTTTTCATGGAGAACTTGTAGTAAAAGTACAATAAAAAGTTTATGGAATGGTGCTGAAGTACTGACGGACCTTGCGCAGGAATAATCATGAAAAAGAATCTCAAAACTCTCACGTTTTTCTTTAATAAAAAAACCATTTTTTTAAACATTTACTGTATGTATAGAGGCGCGAAGAATTAGAGCTCCCAATTTGTAGAAGAAAAAAATCCCACATTAGATAGTGGAAACCACGGCTTTATTCATAGGCAAATAGTTTCTTATAGCTTTATTTTAAATTGTTTTAATCTTTTATTGCAAAACTTCATTAAATTTTCTCACATTTCAGGTGCTTTGCGAACACTTGGAGGAGCAAAACATCGAAGGCTTCACAGAAGCAGTTAAAGATTATGATAGCATTTCACGCTTGGATCAGTGGTATACCACAATATTGCTTAGAATTAAGAAAGCAGCCGATGAGGATCCCGATTTACGATAAATTTACCATTAAATTTACTAATTATATAAAACAAGTAATAATTATTCCAAATAGTGAACGTATAAAAAAGCAAACAAAAATACACAAACGTAATTTTCAAATTTCACCAACACAGGACCATAGTAACCACAAATAAATATATATATATTTTTTTTTTTTTACATTAACAAGTAACCCCAGTTAATTATTAGCTAAATAAAGCAAGAAAAATCGAATTAATCATTATAAAAATACATCAACTAAATAGATATACAGCTATTCTTTTACAGACAGTACCACCAAAACACATAAACATCAACACTAACCACATACATACATCTACACAACAAAAATCCACTAATTACAGCAGACAGACTCCAATTGCTAATATTTCGTATAAAAGAAAAAATATTCAACATTATTACTATTATTATTATAAAGGAATAGAAGCAATATTAGCTTCATATTACCGAAAACAAAAATAAACATATTTTATTTTAAAATTTCATATTGTGTAATACAAAATGTAATAACTGCATGCATTGAATGGCAAAACAAACGCATGTAGTTAGCAGAATTTAAAACGCATGGGAAATGGAAATTTTGCATAATTTCACAGCGCTACATACACACCAGCCAAACGATTGAAGATTTGTAAATGTGGAAAGTGGAAAATATAAGTCAATGTTTTGCGTTTAAATAACAACTAAGCTGCATTGAGCGTCTAAACAAATTGAGGAATCTTTGTAATAACAATACAAATTCGATAACTTCATCAGCTAATTTGTGTGGAAAGCTAACTCTGCTATGGAAATGAGAGATACATGCTTGTTTTAGATTGGTAAAAGGGAGAATTGAATAAAACATGCTTGATGCATTTTGGAGTAAATTTCTTTGTGAGGCATTTTAAATGCCAAATACTTATATTTTCGATGTTAATTTGAATTCATTTAATGAATAATTTTTATAAGAATTATTTTATATGCACTGAATACTTGCTTGTGGTTAAATAATAAGTTTTAATGTTGTATTTTTTTCTGCTGATTTGTGAGTGAATTACAATAAATTGTTTATATTCTTAACTCTTATTTTTTTGAATTTTCTTTCTCAAGGCTTACAGCTAACTTAATACGTGTGTTGCCAAATAAATATTAGCGCTCTATACATGTATATCTACTCCTTATAACTGTTTGTTAAATGTGTTAATTCGTTATTTAAAAAGCATAATAAAATAAAGCTGTAACTTTTCAAATCAAATTATATGCTATTGAATATATAAAAGCACTCATTATGTAACTTGGTAAACAGATTTATTTATTTAAATGGCATTGTTAATGTAATACTTGGTAAACGGTTTATTCAGTTAAATGAAAATGTTATAAAAGCAAATATAACAAATATAACTAACCGTGAAAAAAAGAAAACAATAACTATGGTAGAAAAACATACATACATATGTGCATGCATAAATGTAAGCAAATGTATAAAACATTGCAGGTGGACAGGCGCCATATATAAAAATGGCTAAAGAAGGTGAACGTGAAAAGAAAAGAAAGAAAAAATAAGTGACTACAAAATTTGATAATGGTAAAAGGGCATGCAAGATATATTACAATAATCAATTAATGTAACCATATTAACATACATATATACATATACTATATTCAAAAAAGTTTAGGCATATTTAAACCGTAAGTTATATTCATAAGAGATTTCTACAAGGTAAGCAACATTAATGTAAGCTGAATACACTGATGATTTAATAAAAACTATACTGCACTCCAACGTAGGTAAGAAACAATCCACTAAATTTCTTGGCGGTAGCGTTAAAGTCTACAACAACAACGACATTTGTGCTGCTGGTCATTATTTGATAAAAGAAAAATTAAATTGTTGGCGGTAGCGTTAAAGTCTACAACAACAATGACATTTGAGCTGCTGGTCATTATTTGATAAAAGAAAAATTAAAGTTGAGTAACAACTTCTTAATAGTTATAAGTAAAATATTATACACATATTCATACTTATATTCAAAAATCAATTAAATATCGCGTATAATTAACGCAAAAGTAATTAAAAACTAATCCCAAAAATATATAAACGCATAAATTAAAGCAAAGAAGAACACAAAAGCTTAGAAAAAGTTTCTTGGGGAGTAAACTTTAATTCCAAATTTGGCTTTTGACACTTTAAATGAATATACATATACATATATTACATTCTTCGTTTAACTATTATCATTATTAAATACCAAAAATAATTAACAGTGAATGAAATATGTAACTCATTTCACGCTTGCAAAAGAAACATATTTATAACTACATAAATATTACTAACCTTATTACACAAGCTTGAACATTATTTACCCACATACAAACATATGCATATGTAAAGCAAATAAACACGCATTTTATTCAAATACTATGCATTATTAAACAAAACCAAAATACAAGAACACTAAATGAAAAACAATTTGAAATGCATATACTTATGTAAAAGCAATTAAAGTGGAAGCAAAGAGCTAGCGGCGCAAGCCCTTCCATGCAATAAAAACTTTAAACAATGCATTAGCAATTCGCTAACAAAAAATTAACTTTGTCTCACATTAAAAAAAAAAACATTCGTAGTGTATTAGTAACGAAAAACACTTTTATTAGAAGTTAGCGATACTAACAAAAAAACAAAAGAAACTTTATGAATAAAAAACATTAAGAGTTGATGCCGAGAAAAAATGATTTATTGTTCTTATATTTAATAACATTTAAGAGATGTTTGAGCATGCATTCAATAAACTATAAATATGTGTGTATTATTGTAATTACTCAAATAAAAAGAAGGAAACAAATTACCAAACGAAGAAAAAACAAAACAAGCAAACAAATATTGAACACAAAAATACCAAGAAGGTAGAGCCCATTGACATATTAGCGAGGGGAAAGGAGATGCACCCAATACCGGGACTAGCGGGGCAGCATGTGCGCTGGATGAAGATGAAAAAAGTAAACAAAAAAACTACCAAAAAACAGCAGCTGCATAAGATCAACACAATAAAGCTTAATTTAAATAAATTAAGAAGAGCAGCAGCAGCGCGTATGCAACACCAGATAAAATTAGAGCGAATAAAGGACGAGCCAAAGAAATAAGTTCATCAAAACAAAAACAAGCAAATACATCAAATAAAACATTGCATTAAATAAGAAAAAAACAAACATTAAAGGACATTTTTACGGTGAAAAAAAAACGGACAGTAAAAAACTATATTGCAGTTTAAATTGGTTGTTAACTAAAACAACAGGTATTAAAACTATCAAAGAAATGCTGCTCTAAGAGCTTAACAAGGTTAAAAGTCAGGCATTAAAAACTTGTTGGACTTTTGAAGCTAGAAAAGATATTAAAAAAGTTGCTTCAGCACTGTGAAGCTCTAAACCACGTAGTTTGGAAACAATTCCAAATACAGGTAAAACAGCTTGCAGGATAATGATCTTAGAAACAAACTTTAAAATCAATGGATATTGAAAAGTCTTTTTTTTTGCATTTTCAAAAGTGACCGAGCATACTTTTCTGCAATGTTATTTTTTAACTTAAAAAAAAAAAAATCCTAAAGTAGTAAGCATTTTTTAAAGCACAATTTTATGAAAAAGAGAACTTCATAAAACTCAAAAACATTGAAAACCATGCAACGGTGTGCGAAAATCAATAATTTCGCACTAAAAACGCTTGTAGAATTTCAAACAAATCCGAAATAAGAAAAACCGAAACAAATTTCGATAATATCGTCTGAATGAACGAAAATGACTAAAAATCAGAAAAATTACAAAGACGCCTTAAAAATGCATTGTGCAAAACGTTTAATATATAATACATACGTATGTATGTGCATACATGCAGCAGTGCACACGAAAATAGCAGCGCGACATATACAGCCCTATCGCCAATTCCATGTGAATAAATCGTTCCCATAATTTAACCTGCAAAACAAAAACCAATTGGGAAATATTGTTTTTGTTTTGCTTTATAATTTTTTGGAATATTAGTTCATTTTAAATTCGCAATAGGGCCCATAGACATTTTTTAACAATTTAATTTCCGTTTATTTAATTTTAATCATTTTTTTAATATAATTAATTCTACAATAAAAACCGTGCAAATCAAAGTTTCAAACTTTCTACAAAAATTATAAAAATTCAACAATTATTTTTTCAGAATTTTAATAATTTTTTAGGTACGCAATTTTATAGCCCAAAAAATTTTAGTATAATTAATGGCAATTTTCAAGTGGGTAAGAATTCGCTTTGATTTTTAGTATTTTTTTTTGCTGACGATACTTTTCTTCCATATAAAGAAAATTTGATTATTCTTTATATAAAGAAAATTTGAGTATTCTTTATATGGAAGAAAAGGCGCCAACACCTTTTTTGAAAAATATGCTCGAAAATCAACGCAAATTTTGTGCCACTTCTAACTTGCACTAAAATTGACGGGGCTACAAAACTGCATACCCGAATTGTTTTTAAATGCTTAAAAAGTTTAAAATTTTACAAACATTTTTGGGATTTGTTGAATATTTTTAAAGTTTTATTGGTTGTAGCGTTAACCCAGCAAACATTTGGAGTCATAAATGAGTCTTTAAGGAGTCCCATTGTTGAGCCTTTGTGCTCATAATGAGCTCATTTAAGAGTCCGAAATGAGGGTGTTTCCCTTCCTGCGAAGGTCGACCTATAAGAGCTTAAATTCATACATCAAAAGAGCCTCAATATGAGTCATATTGGACTCTTATTGGCCTCATATACGG